TCAGTATTCCAATGAATGTTTTTATTAGTCTTTGCAGTGTACCGAAAAATAACGTTGAAAACAAAAGTGAAAGTGGATAGTTTATTCTCAACCCTATTAAAAAAATTAAATTACTTCTAAAAACAGTTTGCTACAGAAACTTAACATGGCCTAGGTAAGTTGTAATTATTATGTACAACAAATTGTGATGAAAATCACCCCAAAACTCCCACCGCGGGCATGGTACTTTCGGTGTGGCATGGCTCAAAAACCAAATTTGATAACGCACTATATTTGCGTAGTGGTACGACAATCATTGTAGCATAGTGTTTGGAAACTAGAATGGGTTGCTGTAATTTATTTGTTACCTCAACTTATTACTTACATACTTACATTCTATTACACAATTGAACTCTAACTAGTCTGTAACTCAATAGTTTAGTGAACATAAATCAAATGTATGCAACAGCCAAGGGAGAACAGTTTACTCACACCCGCAAGGAAGGGATGAAGAGATTAGGTCAGGAATGGAAGAGTACAGTCAAGACAAGCATTTTGCACGACGCACTCGCTGGCGTCCCAGGCACGGGGGAGCAGCTTACCTACGCCCGCGCGTAACATGCAGACAAGGTCGTATGCGCGCGAAATACGTTGGCAGCACTGGCTGTAAATCAGCTGTTGTACTGTTGTATCATTTAATGTCATATTAAAAGTTCACTTATGTGTAAAAATATGTTACGTTTCTTTACCAATTTATTTATTTTATGGTATTTTATGGTTTAACGTAACATATTTTTACACATAAGTGAACTTTTAATATGACATTTAATGATACAACAGCTGACCAGCTGATTTACAGCCATTGCTGCCAACGTATTTCGCGTGCATACGACCTTGTCTGCATGTTACGCGCTCACTATTTCGTGCCTTCACGTTGCAAATCTGGAGTGAGACAAAGTAATTAGAGTGAGACAATGTTAACATTGTCTCACTGGTGAGCGAATTGGCCACTTTGCTTTCTCAAATCAGTGAGAGAACATGTAAATTGTTAGGTAACTGTAGGAAAAGTAAGTAAATACAGCAAATGGCAGCTTTCTGTACTATAAACAGTGCTAGAAAGCCTACTTTGTCGGGTGACTGAAGGAAAAAAGCTTTAGATTTTTCTCGAGTTTGAACGAGTGGCTGACTACAAGTCGAACAGTATATACACATTGTTACCAAGCATTATATCAAATTATATACTTCCACAGTGCCAATATTTTTTAATATTCTACAATAACATGTATAACTTTACAGTTTTATGATTGAGTTTAGATTTTAACATATTTATAGTGTTAAATAATCTAGTTGCTGATTGGTTGATGCAGTTACATATTACTAAACACAATACGTGTTCAATATTTCAGAATCCCTGTTTGTATAAGTTATTCTACTTGTACATTGATGTATTTGTTTAACGAATTCTGTAATTAAATGAACTATAAGCTATAACAATTTTATGATGAAAAATTTGTTATATCCTAGTTTCTCTGTAGTCTGGTTTAGTTAGTAGACATTAAGGCCAAGTATGTAGGTACTGTTTTAGCGAATTCCCTATATAGGGAATAAGCTATTACCGTAGTACTCATGGTAAGACCTGGACCCGGAACCGATTTACTTTTTTAGTTTTGAGGTCCCTAGAGGCTAAAAACACATATTTATGTTCAAATTCGCATTTTTGTGTGTGTCTGTTAGCACGATAACTCGAGCAAAATGATCCGATTGTAATGAAATTTGGTACAAACGTGTAAACCTACATTTATTCGTACGAGTTTGCAAACCAGCATGATCGGACCATGAGAACGGGGGTTTAAGAAAGTAATAAAGTAAAAAAGAAAGTAATTCTAAAACGTTGTTTTATTGGATAAAAATAGGTTTTCCCATTTTTGGCCCTAAAAACACCAAATTTCACAATTTCTTTCCAAACCATTTTGTAGAGCTTAAAAAAATAAATAATTTAGTATAATGAAGCGTTATTATGCGACTTAATGCTTGCGAAGAAAATTCCAAAAAAATTGTAAATTAAAAATTCCCACGTTATTCTTATGGAGAATAAGTCATCTGTTGTAGTTTGCTTGTTTATGAACATATTTTTACTAACATTTTACCACAAAAAATACTTTTTTACCCTCCCTGTTGCAGCAAACCTAAGTACTCGTTAAACTAATTCTATTTAAATACGGAATAAATGTGATATTTTTTAGGACGCATTTTAGTGTAAATCCAATCAGCAAATGGAAATTCGCTTAGTCTGCAGGTTTTCTGCGGCAGGGGTATTTTTGCTTATCATAGGTATTTGAGCACCTTATTTTAAAGTCCACCATACAGCCAGAGTAAAGTACCACTTTACACCTTTACGAGATTCGTCCTGTATACACACGTAGGAATAATCACTGGCATTGTAGTAGACAAATCTGTTATTATCTTATCTTATGTTATATTATCTAAAATAGTGTTGTTAACGTATTATGTAAATGTTTTAAAAAGAGAATACTTTCGAAACTTGCTGTATACATATAAGGTGTTGTTACAATACTACAATAATGCAGTTTATAGTTTGTAATTGTTTATTAAGTATATAGCCTATTTTATTAATGCTATGTATATTATGTGGAAATAAATATATTTCCATATACATGCATGCATATATATTCATTCACTGAACGTTTTTAGGGCGGAATCAAAATAGCTAATAAAACACGAGAAGGCAGAAAATTAGACTACAGAATATCTTCAAACCAATTGAGTGGCAAATTTGTATACTGTATTCCATTTCAAATCCAAACTTGTATTTGACTATGTTCTAAGATTGAACACATAAACACACATGAAGCTACGATTATATACGATTATAGTGATCTATGTCTATAGTTTTTTAAAACTATTGCAAATGTTTATTGAGGAAAAAACTCTCAGTCATTTATACCGGGTTTCATTGATCGGTTTTCAAGGAGTAGACGATCCTAAACAAGTATTCCTTTAAGGCGGTGACACACTATCGATCGGGAAAAGGGAGAAGGGAGATAAATATCAGCAAAATTCCAATCCGAACATTTCTCCAAACAAGACCAAGCACGGCAAAAGGGAGTTTAGAGAGAGATGGAGAGCGTGTGTGAGTGAGAGCGCGGAGGCAGTAATGATAAAGCAGAATAAAAACACGAAATAACAAGTTGCATAGTGATCATATTAGTTGCCTTTAATAATATTATATGTATTTCAATTTTGAAATAATATAAGTATAACATCAATTTCTTAATTCACAATTAAGATTATTGATATCATTAATTTAACGGTTTCAACTTGTAAAGTACATTTTCAACTTTGGCTAAACAAACCACAAAATTACAAATGTATGTCAATAATATATAACGGCAAAATATTACCCAAAATGTATTTATTTTACCAATTTAAGAGTTTAATTGCCATATTAAATTAGAACTATTAACGCTAGCGCAGGCGGCCGCTCGGTGCGGCGCTCGCGACGACGTACGGGGCAAGAATATGTACCGTGACACACTATCGTACATCACCAGAGAGCACAGAATAGAATCACCAAAACGACCCAAATTATAAAAAGTATAAGCCCTATTATATTTTTTTTTGTTTTAATTTCATTTTTACTTGAACACATTAAAGTATATTTTAATAGCTTTCTAAATACTCATAAAACTTGTTAAAGTTGATCTGCGTCATCTTTATTTCCCATTATTAATAATATTTAAACAAATCATCAATATTATCATTAGAAGAAACTAATATTGAAGAGAATAGTAAATTGAAACTTACATCTCCGTCTTTACATCTTTTTCACGAAAATGTTCAGACTCCTTTCTAGGGAAATCTGGAATTTATAGATGAATAGCCAGATGAGTTATGAAAAGCATTAGGATTTTCCGATGATATTAGTATTTCCTTAAACGGCCTTAGTAATTTAGAACATTAGAAAGTAACTTAAACAGCGAGTATTAATAAGAATATAACACTAAACTACTAAACAATAAGTATAACAATAAACAATAAAAAAGATACTTTTAAGTTTGAAATTAACGTCAAAGGTAGATACCAGATACAATAAACGGTACTAAATATAAAAAACCTAGTAATATTCATATAACGGGTGTCCGAAAAAGAACTCCCTAGTTTTAAAAATACTTCACGATAGTGTTAACTTTAAATGGATGGGTAATAATCCTTTGGTGCTGTAGAGTACACTTGTAAGTTTTAGTTTCGTATGTTGGCAATAAGTTTGGGACACCTGATTGACCATGAGCGTAGTTTTAGTAATAAATAATTAAGAATAATGATAAATATGAGTAAAACCGCTTGGATATCTGCAGGGCTACAAATGGTTTGCATATCAAGGTGCACTAGTATTAAAATAGTATATTTCATCACTAGGGCCTAAAATGACTCTCTCCCGTGTGGAGAACTATGTTTTCGTCTTAATTGCATAATTAATTAACAAAAACAAAGATAGAAAACGAAATAATTTTTATGTTAAGATAACCTCTCAAAACGACTTCCAGCGTGTTTTCAATTCTGCTAATGCAAATAAGCAGCTGTTTAGTAAGTGATTTAATTATTTCGTCTATTACGATTGTTTTACCATCGATATGTTGAGTAATCGAGAACAATAGGCTAAAACCTTACCTTATAAGTCAATCGATAAATAATTTCGATCGTTATGATTACCACAATCGAAATTCACAACTGTGTACCACAGCTGATTTTCACTCCCTTGAGACTAAAAATGATTTTTACTCCCTAAAAGAGTAAATGCTACTTTAGACCCGCAACGCATACACGGCTGTTTTTTCTGCAGTATGACAAAAACACTTTTATTTTATTTACCGTTCATTTGATGTATCAGTCATTGTAATTTGTACATTGTACATTAAATAAATAAATGTTAAAACTAGGGAGTTCTTTTTCGGACACCCGGTATACTTTAACAAAATTGATATTATAATAGATCAACTTACCCATACACGCACACACGACCACTGTTTCCTTTAACATCCTGAAAAAGATAAACATATATTACATTTTGATCTGACTATCAGCTTTCACCACAAGTCATATCGCATTATAAAGTATAAACACTCTAATCGGAATCTCATGACATGTTTACACAGTACGGGTTACAAATATCATGACCATATGTACAAATCCTAATTCATTTAAATCTATATTAAATGGAAGGGAAATAGCCAATCGGATGGAATAAAAGTTTTTTTTTAATCAGAAGGGTAAGAACTCAAAAATACACTGAGCCCAACCTGTGACGATGTTTTGTAAACAGCTGGACAGAGACTCACATTTAAAATGTTTACCTATAAATTTTAATATTACACCGAAATATAAGTTAAGCAGTTCACGTGAAAAAGCCTCGGTTGTTACTGATTGTTTCCTTCACGAACTCGTGTTTCTCTAGCAGCTGTTTGGTTTCCAACAATTTCCTCGCTTCAGAAAAGACTGACCAAGTAAAAATGTATGCTATTATATCGTTATGAGAATGTTGAATTTATTTATTTATTATCATTCCAACGGCAGAGCCATTTGAAAAATACCCCCGCCGCAGCAAACCTGCCGACTAAGCGAATTTCCATTTGTCTGAATTGATTTTCAGTTAAATATATTTTAATAACATTAGGTTTAACGAGTACCTAGGTTTGCTGCTACAAGGAAACTAATAAAGTGTGTTTTTGAGTAAAATATTGATAGCTTAGTACAAAATAAATAAATTTGCCAAGTTTGATCAAAATATATCCATAAACAAACAAACTACAACATTTGACAATATTCTCCATAAGAATAACATGGGAATTTTAAATTTACAATTTTTTTAATTTTCTCCGTTACTAATAATCGAACAAAAATACTTTTATATACTAAATTATTTGTTTTTTAAGCTCTTTAAAAAGGTCTAAAGAGAAATCGGGAAATTTTGTGTTTTGAGGGTCAAAAGTGAGAAAAACCTATTTTTACCCCATAAAGCCCCCCGTAAAGCCCCGTTCCCATAGTCCGATCGTGCTGGTTCGCGAACTCATTCAAGTTTATCCCGCTTTACACCTTTAAACCAAATTTCATCAAAATCGGACAAAAATTACTCAAGTTATCGCGTTCACGGACGTATATATATATATATATATATATATATATATATATATATATAAGTCTATATATATATACATATATAAAAATTTGAACGAATGGTGTTTTTGGCCTCTGGGGACATCAAAATGAAAAAGTAAATCGGTCCCGGGTCTAGGTCTTACCGTGCCACCTACGGTAATAGCTACTTCCCTATAGGGAAATTCGCTAAAAAGGCAACAAACAGTTTCCAACTTAACACAAACAATGTGACAATCGAAAGAACAATAGAAAAATCAACAATAAATAACAATAAAGTTAATAACAATATAAATAAATGACAAAATAAATAACAACAATATAAATAAATAACAATATGAATAAATAACAATATTAATAAATACAATATAAATAAATAACAATACCCGTTACAATAAATATGTAAATGAATGCCAAAAAATTTAAAAAAATAGCGTAAGGCTGAATAACAACAAAAACATTTGAAGGTGAGACAATCATCGACAAAAATTCAACTAAGCAATTTCATTCCGTTGCTCGCCAAGGACAGTGAGGAACTTTCTTCGAGCTGGTTTGAAGCCGTCGAAGAAGAAGTCCACTGCACCTGACACCGTGTTTCCCAGGCGAAGAATCCTAGCGAGTGGACTGTTGGCGTCATAGGATGTTGACCTGAAGCGCCGGCCAAAAAATGCTCTGAGACGAGTTCTGCCTGGAACCCTGATGTCGATCTCCAGAAAAAGTTCGGAGCAACTGAGAATGCCATTCATGATCTTGTATAGGAGACACAGGTCAGCAACATCTCTTCGAAGGTCTAAAGGATGCAATCCCAGCATCTGTGCACAGTCGTCCACGGGAGCGTCTCTATAGGAGTAGCCATTTCTAACACAGACCAGACGAAGAAATCTTTTCTGGATGGCGTCCAAGCGTTGCCTGTCGAATTCCGTGTAGGGCGACCAGACCACAGAAGCATATTCAAGACCTTGTCTGACTAATGCGCAGTACAGAGACTTCAAAGCATGGGGACAACGGATACCTCGTGTGAATCGTATGATGAATCCCAGCATTTTGTTTCCTTTCTTGGCAACATGGTCCACATGATCTCCAAACCGTAGGTCGTGTGAGAAAATAATTCCTAGGTCTTTTATGGTCGTGGTTCTTGGAATACTGTCTACTCCAAAAAAATACAAAAAGATGAGCGGATTAAGAGAGCGATGGTACGTTATAACAGAACATTTGCTGGGATTTATCTTCATATTATTGTCCTCACACCATATCATAACCTTATCCAGGCTCATCTGTAACTGTGCAGCGTTATTGTCAGAAGACACCTCACAAAAAAGCTTCAGATCATCGGCGAACATGAGGGCACCAACGTCCATCTGGTCAAGAAGATCATTGATGAATACATTGAAGAGGTACGGTCCCAAATGAGAACCCTGTGGAACCCCAGAAGTCTGATAAAAGGGTCTTGACACAACGGAGCCAATCCTGACAGCCAAGTGACGATCAGCCAGGTAGTCTTGAATCCAACTGACTAATGGCATAGACTAGGCAACACAAGTAGACTCCTCATCCCATTGTAAATTTTGAAGCTTGTTTTTTGTGTCTAGTTCATGTACGTCCACACTGATCGCTGGGGTAGACAACATTTTGTTTCTGTTATTTTAGGGTTATTTTCATGATTTGTGCTTTACTATTTGGTTATATAATTAGGAGACTAGTTATTGCTTAAGATTACATCGTTTTATTTGGTTAAATGAGGTTTTAAATGACTGAAATAACAAGAAACAAACTGTAAACAAAACATAACCTCTACAGTTGGACGTACAGAACTAACAATAAAATTGGCTTCAGCTGTTCCATAGGGATGACAAATCTACTAAGGGAGTATGATTTATCTATGCTAATGGGTTAAGGAATCCATACCCCTTAAGTTTAGAGATTCAAAACTGAGCCACAGTTCTTCCATTAGGAGCATGTGATTTGAGAGAAATTAGTAACCTAGTTTTTTTTACCTAGGATGCTAGGCACGAGCTCGGAATTGTTTTTCACATTACTTTAGGCTAGACCTGGGTTACGGCATTTCACTTAGCTAAAATCCATTGGTGATTTGACGGGGTTTGAACCCAGGACCCCAGGAACCGGAGTCCCGCGCTCTAACCACTAGACCAGCTCGCTAGTAAGCTCTTTAGTAACCTAGTAATGGCGACTTGTTATTTAACATTAGACAACTATGATTTTAACGTTGAGTATATTTATACAGTATTCATTTTCAATTGACTTGTATAGTTCTTGTTGTAAAGCGTTAAAACACGGGTTAAAATATGCACATTTTATTTGACAATACGAAACGTGCTCAAGCACAAAATAAGTCGAATGTGTAAATGGAAAACAATAACCTGTTATAGTATATTACGTTACTAGCCCTGAAAATATGGTTTTACCATACCAGTCCGGTAAACACATTTTGGGCGAGTGACGTACGATATTTTACGCGATACTACTAAATCCGTACAAATACTTATTATATTACCACCGACTAAAGGACTAACAATCACTAGTCATAAGGTTATGTTTTTGTTTATAAACTAGCCACTCTCACTCATTGCCAAATATATAATCAGCTGGTTGGTGTCTGGTAAAACTCATTACAGTACACTAGTACGTAATGAAACCCGTTTTTGATTAAGCTGACGGCAAACAGCTGTTTTTTGGACTTAACCCTTGCGTGGGAAGTTCCTTAAAACAGTGTAGTGTGGCGTGAATTTATTTATTTTACGATAAACTGTTTTTTATTATTGACGAAAATATGCACATTTTTCATCGTAGATTCCCACCAAGAATTTTTCATCCCTTAACTACTTACAAAAATAAAAAGTCCTACTGAACATTTTGACATAATTAATCGAAATCTTTCTCTTTACTTAGCTCGTTGGAATTTGTCAAATGGTTACAGAGTAAATTCTAACAAAAAATCTAAATTTCTATGTTATTTTTATGGTTGTTATGTTAACTGTTTTATTTTGCTTGTTAATTTATATATTTCGATCAAATTTGGTAAATTTATTTATTTCATACCAAGCCAAGCTATTACATGTAATTAAAAACCACAATTTATTACATTCCTTGTAGCAGAAAACCTAAGTACTCACTACATCTTTTGTAATTTAAATGCCGAATAAATCCAACATGTATAAAAGAATATTTCAGTGAAAAAACGATCAGGCCAATGGAAATTCGCATAGTCTAGGTATGATGCAGCGGAGTTATTACGACAGGATTTAACCCATACCATCTGCCATTACTGGACAATCTATTACATGATACCTACATTTTTCAAAACGCTAAGGCGTTTATGGCATCGCTATTGCAACGTATGTTTAGTAAGAAAGAAGCAAACTCGTACTTCGCTACGGCATGACAACACAATAACTCAATGCAGCTTTTTAAAGTACTGTATACGATTTTCAGATAAGCTTACAACCGAGGTTAATAAAATATTCTCTTTAGTTTATTAACAGTACACTGTATTTTGTGCCATTAAACATAATGAAAATCCTTCTTTATTGGGGCGAACTAAGGACCTTACAACCATTTCTTACAGTTAACCAATAAATAAATAATAATAAAAGTCCATGAACAAATACAAATTAGAAACACAATTTGTAACATAACAAGTAATAACATACTTTTTCGTTTCCTTTACATTAATCATTCACACATTTGTCACTCACACATACACTCTCTGCTACACACAGGCTCAAATGCTCACCATCCTGCCACTCCATGAACATTCCGAACAAGGTAAATATTCTTTCAGACGGGATCGGTTTTCAAAGAGTGGACGATCCAAAAGTATCCCTTACATCTTTTCCACGAAAATGTTTAAACTCCTTTCTAGGGAAATCT